TCTGGTGACCTAGTGGAAAGAAGCTGCACAGCAGTCTCAAAGGTACATGGTTCAAGTCCACCAGCTGCTCTGCAGGAGGAGGCTGGGCAGTCTCCTCCCGTGCGATTTACTGCCTCTGAAAACCTGGCGGAGAGTCAGCTATGGGCTGGCTGTGACTTGATGGTAACAGCAGCAACAAACAATTTTACTTAATGTGGCTACCAATGTATATAAAATAATTACTAGCCTTGTGAAAGAGAAACTCACAAAGAGAAAATTCAGAGAGGTAGATGTTAATAACTGACAAGCATGGAAATCTGTATAGTAGGTGCATGTGTTGTAGGAATACGCTTTTATACAGGCTTCCTGTTAACTCACCTTTAAATATTTACTGGTTCATAAGATTGGTTTAGGAAACCTTTGAAAGATTCATTTTACAAAAAAATGAGCAGACTTCTGGGGTCTAAAGGGATTTGTGCTTTAGACTGGGACTTAGACGCCAGTCAGCAGGGGGTCACGTTGAGGGTTCTGCAGACAGAGTTGTTTGCAATCTACAGTTGCCTCCGAAACCTTCACACGGTTGAGCCCAGCTTCAAGCCAAAGCTGCTGAACCACTTTCTTCATAGGGGCGATGCTAGAGCCAGACAGGGCGAACAGGAGTGAGACGACCGGTCCCTGTGCGGTGCGTCTGATGAGTTACAGGGCCAGACGGCAGGACGGCGCGCAGCCTAACCCCAGTGTTCAGACCATTAGTACTATAATACGTTATAACTTTAACGAGTGTCTATCCCTTGAAGGGATTCTAACTTGGCCTTGGAAAGTAGAACAAGAACTGATGGGAATGGCTTAGAGTAGCACACAGACCTGGGAGCAGGAAGACCAGTTAGAGCTCGTCTCCCCTATGCATCTGGGGGAAATTACGGGGTCTTGGACATTGTGGGAGGAGCCCTGGTGGTGTGGTGGTTAAAGCACTTGACTGAACCAAAAGACGTGGCTCACACCCACCAGCCACTCCATGGAGAAAGAGCTGACAGTTGGCTTCTGGAAAGATTACAGCCTTGGGAGCCTGCAGGGCAAAGCCACTCTTTGAGTCGGAACCGACGAGGTGGCAGTGGGCAGCGGTGGGTAGTTTGGAGATGGGCAGCATGGGCAGACCCAGGACATGGTTTGGCTGCATACTTACAGGACAGGCTGAAGTGATGGGTTTGAAGAAAAGCAATGAATTAGGCTTATATAGGTTTTAGCTCAAGTAAATGAGTGCTTGGAGATGGGGAGAAACAGGTAAAATTTTTTTGTTTGTGAAGTTCGAGCTCACTCACTAGGAGGCAAATAAGATGCCAGATGAACAAGTTCTGGGAGCCCTGGACAGGCACAAAGGAAACTGAACGAGTAGGAAGACAGGCTTGTTGTTGCTAGGAACCCTTGGAAATTTTGGATTGTATAAATTTCCCTAAATTTTTAATGTTTGAGTAATCTCTGCAGAAAATGTCAGCAGGTTGATTTCATTTCCTTTATCCTTTACTTTTTTTCATGCTCAAAGTTCATTACAAAGAATGTAGTAAATATGAATAGGGGGAAATAGCGTGAAAAACCTAAAAAAAAAAAAAGGAGTTCTAAGCTCCCTGTAACCCCAGGGCGGGTGTGCACCGTAGTCTTCCTCTAGGCCCAGGAGGAAGACCACAATGGGTAACTATCTAGCCACCCTCTACCTCGATCTGTCAGTCATCAAATGAATCAAAGGCATTTTATATTTTTCAAAATTAAGACTGTTCTAGGGAAAAAGTAGATTTCATTGATAAAAGCCTTTCTAAATTATAGAAGAAGATTAATAAGTAGCATAAAAATAAAAACCTTAGGATGATGGCCATGGAAGTCGGCATCCGCTAGAGAGTATGTTAACTCACGTGCTGAAAAAGAAAAAATAAATCAAAATTTTCAGGGAAAAAAATAAAAGTGTTTATGCACATACGCACCCAGGCCCATCCCCACTTACACGAAAGCAAGTGAAAGAAAAGGTGTGTGAACCAGAATATATTTTTAATTCAAATCCTAGACAAGGGTCTAAATTTACCTAATAACTAAAGAGGCTCATTAAGAAATAACAAAAGATCGTGTAGAAATAGTGAAAATATCTAACAGGTTGTGGTGGTGGTGTGTACCCAGGGAGTTGGATCCAACCCATAGCTGACCTTCCGGAAGGTTTTCAGAGGCAGTTAATCGCACAGGAGGAGACTGCCATCATTCTCCCACAGTGCAGCTCGTGGATTCGAACCACACACTTTCAGGATTGCAGTGCACTTTCTTGCCACTGGTTCTAAAACTAAGAAAGGATGAGCTCCTTGACTGACTCGTTTGAAGAGAAAGGCAAGGTACAGCTCTCCTGATGCCGTGTTCCCTTAGCCAACTGGTAAAACCCAAAAAGACATCAACACGTTCTGCTGGTCGGGCTGAGGGGAGACCAACAGTCCTGTGCCTTTGAGAGATCTACCACGATGACAGGAGAGCGCGTGGTGGTAAGAAGGTGTGCTGGCCCACAGGCAGGCAGGCAGGATCCACCAGCTGCTCCACGGGGAAAGGTGGGCGATCCCTTCCACTGCTATGAGTCACTGTCTGATTTGACGGCACACGGCAACTTTATCAAAATTGCAGGTGCTCGCGCTCCTGGACCCAGCAGGCCCGCTCCCAGAATTTCTTCTTACAGATGAACTTGCCCACATAGGAAGTGGCATGTTCAAGGTTATCCTTTAGAGCATAGTTCGTAACTAAAGGAGCCCAGCCTGGTGTCATCAGTGTGGAGGTCCCCATGTCATACCGCAGTGTCAGATGCTGCACAGCTGTGGGGTGTGGTGTGTGGCTGGAGCACACCACGCCAATGAAGAAGTCAGCTGCTCACACCCACCAGCTGCCCCGCAGCAGAACCAAGAAGTATCTACTTCCATTAAGGCTGTGGCCTCAAGAGCCCTGTGGAGCAGTTCTCTCTGCGCTGCGGAGCCACGAGGGGTCAGAGGCAGAACGGTCTTACGAGGGGCTGGGCTGGTTTTATAGGATTTTTTTTTTAACTAGACCAAGTAACGACTGGAACAGCACATCAACAGAGAACTACCAGAAGTCCAGGCTGGTTTCAGAAGGGGTCGTGGTACTAGAGATATTATAGCTGATGTTAGATGGATCTTGGCTGAAAGCAGGGAATACCAGAGGAATGTCTATCTGTGTTTCATTGACTATGCAAAGGCATTTGACTGTGTGGATCATAACAAACTGTGGCTGACTCTGAGAAGAATGGGAATCCCAGAACACTTGATCGTTCTAATGCGAAACTTATACTTGGACCAGGAGGCAGTCGTCAGAACAGAGCAAGGGAACACTGCATGGTTCAAAATTGGGAAGGGCGTACGCCAGGGATGCATCCTATCTCCATACCTTTTCAACCTATATGCAGAACAGATTATCCGGGAGGCTGGGCTCTATGAGGAGAAATGTGGGGTCAGGATTGGTGGATGATTTATCAACAATCTGCGGTATGCGGATGACACAACCCTGCTTGCTGAAACTGAGGAGGACCTGAAGCACCTGCTGCAGAGTGTCAAGGACTGCAGCCTACAATATGGATTGAGGCTCAATGTCAAGAAGACAAAGATTCTCACCACTGGACCAATTGGCAGCATCAGGATGGATGGTGAAGAGATTGAGATTGTACACAGCTTTAGTTTGCTTGGCTCCATAGTCAACAGTCTTGGCACCAGCAGCCAGGAAATTAAAAGGCGCATTGCCATGGGAAAGTCTGCTGTTAGGGACCTCTCCAAAGTGCTGAAGAGCAGTGGTGTCTCTCTGGAGACTAAGGTGCATCTGATACAGGCCATGGTCTTCGCAATCACCTGTTATGCATCAGAGAGTTGGACAATGACCAAGGAGGATAGAAGGAGAATTGATGCCTTTGAGCTGTGGTGCTGGAGAAGAGTATTGAGAATACCATGGACTGCTAGGAAAACAAACAGATTTGTCCTGGAGAGGGTTAAACTGGGTGGCTCCTTGGAGGCAAGGATTCTGAGGCTCCGTCTAACTTACTTTGGACATGTTGTGAGGAGAGACCGGTCCTTAGAGAGGGACATCATGCTTGGGAGGGTGGAGGGACGGCGCTGGAGAGGAAGGCCCTCTATGAGGTGGATTGATTCAGTGACTGGGATAATTGGGATGGGAGTGTCAGAGACAGTGCGACTGGCACAGGACAGAGCGGAGTTTAGGGCTGTTGTACATAGGGTCGCTATGAGTCGCAGGCGACTCGACGGTACATAACAAACAACAGACCAAGTAAGCCTTCTGTCTTGGAGAAGTACTTCCAAGATTCATTAAATGAAAAAGTCAAGATGAAAACTGTGTGTACATTGCCTTTTTTCTTTAAAATTAAAGGAATTACTGTATGGGACAACTAACAGAAAGAACACCTTCTAGAATAATGGCTTCTGAGAAAATTTGGAGTCCCACTTCTGGCAGTTCCTGGCCAGGGCACAGTGAGCAGGTGTCATCAACCTTTCTGGGGTGTTCTGTATTCATGTCAAGTGCAGGGAAGTTCACTTGGAGCATATGTTCTTTGTGTGTATTTGTGTGTGAGAGTGTGTGTGTGTGTGTGTGTGTGTGTGTGTGTGTAGATATAAATCTAGGTAGAGAAAGAGCTTGTCTATGTCCACCACTACTCTTAATATCCATTTTCATGAGCACTTTAAACACATATGTTTTTTCCCCAAAAAGTGTAATTATGCAATGGAGAAAGAAGGAAAAGGATGTAAAGCTACACAAGAAATTAAATTACCTACAGGGCTTGGGGCAGTATGGTAGAGTGATTGGGTGGGGATGAGAGGTATCCATCTCTAAAGGAGTCCCTGTGATGACACCATGGGGAGGAAGGGACAGTGAAGAGATTTCACCTCTCCCAGCAGCTTGGGGTCTGTTCCCTGTAGTCAGGCCCAGGGCCAGCGCACTGCAATAGACGGAACATTGACCTGAGTTCACTGTGGTGTTTACAGCGGCCTGGACCTGGAGCAGTGTTCTCTCAAGGTGCTGGAGCCAGAAGGGAGCCCGAGCCTGTGTCTGCTGAAGCTGCTGGCCGACAAGGGCTGCACGGTGGCCGAGCTGAGTGACTTCCTGCAGGCCATGGAGCACACAGAGGCCCTCCAGCTCCTCAGCCCCCCAGGTAGGTGTCTCGCGCAGGGGTCCCCTCCAGAGGCTCGTGGAGAGGGAACTGGGGGGAGGAGCTCACCTAGCCAGGCAGATGGTGCAGAGTTTTGGGGAACAGGCAAGTGTGTGGAGCCTCATTTGCTCCCCGGCAATTTTACTTGAATCTAATCAAGCTTTTAAATGGGACTGTCATTTACAAGAAATACAGGGATTAGTTAGGAATGAAATGAAGTTACAAGAAATCTTCAGAGTACCCCAAATGTGAGGTATCATACAAAAAACTTGGAGAAGATGTTGCATCAGAACAAAGTTCACAGATTTATCTGAAATTTTAAAAAAAATGTGTTTTTATTTTTGTTGTTTTTACCAGACAACCACTGATCATGTGCCATTCTAATAGACATTCCTTTGGGCACCTTGGTGACACAGCAGATAAGCGCTTGGCTCACGGAAAGGTTGGCAGTTAATCCCACCAGGCGGCTGGTGATCCACTGCCCCTTAGGGTTTTCTTACAGACTGCAATCAAGGAAACCCCTTGGAGTAGCCCCCTATTGTGTGGGATCAGTATGAGTTGAAATTCACTCAAAACATACAACTGACCTTCCTTTGGAAAGTTTCTGCTCTTGTGTTTTGCCCTGAGAACCTCCTTTTATTGCCTTTGTAGATATTGTGTGTTTTTACAAATTAATGGTTTGTGGCTAGTTGCATGGAACGTGTCTGTTGACACCATTTTGCTGACTGTGCACTCACTCTATGTCTGTCTGTCACATTTTGGTAATTCTCCATATTTCACACCTTTTCATGCTGTTATGTATTTAATAGACTGTAGCATAGTGTAGACAGAGCATTCACGTGCAGTGAAAAACGACCAGTTTTTGTCCGTCTTTTCTGTAGCATTGGTTCTGTTTCTCTGTGGCCGTGGTTTCAGGGCGGACTCGAGCTGGTACGCCACAGGTGTCTGCTGGCCTTTCTCTGGTTCTTCTGAGGAGAGAAGTCTAGTGTGGGTGGCTGAGTTCTGTCCAGCAGTTGAGCTCTGAGCTGGCCTCTTAGCCTAACTGCAAGAAAAGGGAAGCTTTAGACAAGGAAAGTTTTCCTTTGCCACGTTCTATTCCAGCTGGTTGTGGGATGATGGCCAGTCATGGCTGTGTAATACAGAGTTCCTCTGATTTTGGAGAAACTGATGCGTTTCTCTTCTGTATTTGCTCCCCCCATCTCTAGTTGGACTAATGCCATTCACTGGGGGCCAGATTAAATTTGCTTAGCCTGACGTCTAAGCCGAGTGTGAGCTCATGCTAACATTCTTGTTCTCTGTGGGTTGCAGAACCTTCACTTTCTCAGATGCTCTGTAAGATTGAGGTTTACCCTCTTCTCCTTTCTGTTTAACTGACCTTTCCACCGCCCTCGGATTGGACCGTGTGCCCCTCCGTCTGGTCTCTTTTGAATGGTATCATTATTAAATCCCCGAGAGTCCTTGTGTGAGCACTGATACATTAAGGTCTGCACTGAGAAATCGTTTCCCTGTCTTTGTCACTTTGGTAGACAAGAGCAAGAGCAGGTAAATGACATTGTCCTGAACCAAACGTCCATAATGATTCTCAGGCCTTTATCATTTTATATTGTGAGCTTTTGTATCCTAGTCAGTAGGGAAGAGTCCTGTCAACCCAAAGGTGGGTGGTTCAAATCTGCCAGCTGCTTCAAGGGAGAAAGCTAGGCAGTCTTCTCCTGTGCCATTTATAGCCTCCAGAAAACCCTACTGGACCAGCTGTAGTTAGTTCTGACTTGATGGCAATGTGTTAGTTTGAGGGTTTTTCTTCTTTTATTTAAGGAGCCCGGGTGGGTTAAGGAATGAGGTGTTGGGCTGCTGACCTATGGACCAACAGTTCAAATCCATCAGTGACTTCTCAGGAGAGAAAGGCAGGCAGTTTCCTCCCCTAAAGATTTGCAGCCTCAAAAACCCAGTGGAGGGTCACGGTGAGTTACACCTGGCTCGATGACGGTGGGTTTCAGGGGGTTTTGCTTTTCCTTCATCCTTTAATAAACATCAAAGACCCTGACCTCAAAGCAGTCAATCTCAGTATCTTCAGCAGTGTAGAAAAACTGAGACATCCAGTTCAAGATGTTGTCTGTATTTGTTTATGAGTAGAGATGTAATAGTGAGTTAGTGAGATCGTGAAACAGCAGTCTGAGGGAGTAAGGTCCTTGCCTGGAATGATTTAAGCAGAAACTAGGCAGTGGAGAGTGTTGAGACATGATTCTCATCATCTGTGAGGGTTTCATGACCTGCATCGCCTCTCCCAGCTGGGATTGTGCGACACTACAGCTTTACCTTAGCTGTCACTTTGAAAGCACTGCCCCACAGGTACATGGTCCACTGACAGTGGCACAGTCATGGGCTGTTTCTCTTCGGAGGCAGCGTCTCCATTTCCCTTCCCCACCCCCTTTTTCATTTCACTTCACTTTTTTTTTTCTAGTTGCTGTAGCCAACTAGTTATGACCAGTATTCTCTTTGTTTTTTAATTGTCTAAGACAACAGCAGAGGTCAGCTGAATAGCATTCCTGACGTCACCTTTTATCCTCAGTTCTGTGAAGAGACAGAACAGTACTGTTAATAACACTTTCAATTTCAGCAGCAAACATTTGTGTGGAAAGATTTCCAGAGGGTGTCATTTGGCCCAAGTCACACCTAGTCATTGACAAAGATAAGATTTGGACGTGCTGGCTCCCTCCCTGTGTCCAGTGCCATTTCTGTCATCCAAGAAAGTTCTGGGTCATTTTATCTACTTGGTTATGGACTGTTTCCTCAGTTGACTCTTTGACTAATTGACTTTGATTTCTTTTTCTCCTTACACATTAAAAAGTACTCAGATAACTGTGCCTTATTTATAAGGGACTTGTTTCATTATTGCCAAGAACTTGTCAATTTTTGCCAAAAAGAAAATGTCAGGAAGTGAACAGAGAGGCCAGAGTGGAATGGATGGGAAGTCAGTTCCAAGAAAATGAAGTGATAAATGAGGTCTTGAAAGAATGGTTTCCAGCTTCAGAATTCAAGAGAGTGGAGCGAGGCAGAGACTAAAGGGTGTGATGTAGGGGCCGCATACAGCCGTAGTAAATGCAAATCTAAATTGGTTCGTAAGAGGAACATACATGGACACACTTCCAGTTGAGTAATCAGGAAGAAAAACGGTATTCTGGGATCCTGTGGGGTGCCTAGATACCTGTGCTAACTGACAGCTTGGAAAATTCCAGAATAACTTTGAAGAAGAGTTTTAGCTGGAAACTTTGAAGAAAGTGGAAACTGATGAAACTCTTTCTTTGATTCATTTACTCGTGAAAGTCGCTGCACTGTCCTTGGGAAATCTGTTCACCATATCCATGCTGAAGTGCTTTGTGACAGAGACCCATTTCAGGGGAACCCATACTGGATCCTTCTGTCTAGTCTGGAGGCTTCCTTCTGTGTCTGCTTCAGAATTGCAGCAGGTTTTTACCTCTTGTCGGTCGGCCTCACACAGCTGCTCGTGTGTGTGTGTGTGTGTGTGTGTGTGTGTGTGTCTGTTGACAACATCGTCCTCAGTCCCTTGGTACCTGCTCAGATTGAGCTCACAGGAAATCAAGTAACCTCTGACTTCTCTGCAGATGTTATCTGAAAACAAGCTTGTTTGCCAGGAAGCTGTGTATTCACTCTTTAAAAAGGAACTTTCCTCTGTATGCCCTGGGATTGTCTCCAGGGCGTCGTATGCCAGTTACCCTTCCCCAGCCTCCGCGCAGCCCCGCCAAGTAGTGGGCGCTGGATGAGAGTGGCGAGGGGTTGACCATGGTCCCCCGTCACACGGCGTTGTGTGGGAGGAAGGAACTGTGTGTGGTTAAGACACGGGAGGTTGGGTGACTTCTCCTCACCAAGGGCAGTTTCCAAATCACATTTTGCCTTTCCTTTCTCAGTCTTTAAAGCAAGAAGTAATCGACACATATTTAGTTAGAGTTGGGAAAAATAAAAGTTGAAAAGTAGACTATTAGTTTAGTTTACAATATAGGAAAGACTTGGAAACTGTGAGTTTAAGAGTACAATCAAAAGCATGTAGTCTTCCCAGAGGGAAAGGGCCTCTTTTCGAATGGCCTGGCGATGTGGTCACCTTCCGCTAATGCTTTTCCTTCTTATGTAAGGTATGCTAAGGAGAAAGCCTTTATTTCATTCGTTCTTGGAGAGTAATGCTGGTTATTTCCAAGGACTTGGGTTGTGGTCACTTTTCTGTCTTCTTTGTTTTAGGAATATAAACAAAGAAAGCCCTTTCCTTGGCTTTTCTTAAGAAGCTCTATTTTCCCACTTTTCAGGAATAAAGATCATCGTAAACCCAGAGTCGAAGGCAGTCTTGGCGGGACAGTTTGTGAAACTGTGTTGCCGGGCGACTGGCCATCCCTTCGTGCAATATCAGTGGTTCAAAATGAATAAAGAGGTAAGTGTTTAACATCGTAATTCCTGTGTGATAAGAAACGCAAGTGATGGAAAATTCATGAGACGTCGTCTCCGTGTGTTTTCAGGAACATTTTGAAAAGCTCTGTTAGACTTCACTAACCGTAAACAGTGAACTGTTGATAAGCTGGTTCCACAGTTGTTTTACTAAACATTGTACAGAGAGCTCTGGGGGCCTGGAAGGTACGGAGAGACGGAACTGTGGTCCATTATCACGTCACCAGCCGTGCTCATGCTGTGAAGCTAAACGGTGGGGTCCAGTTGTGTGGGGTTTGGAGAGAGAAAGCAGGGAGCTTGTTGAAGATCTCCGCAGGGGAATGGGGCACTGGATAGGCCCCCTCAGTGTACCAGAGTCGATTGGAGCTGCTTACTGATGGGCAGGCAGTGGTGGTGAGGTCCAGGAGAAAGCTAGAGAGGCCCAGGGTTGGCCAAGCCTTCTCTTCACCATGGCCTTCACCCAGACCTCCAGATGGAAGTCCGTGCCCATATGACTCTGCTGATCAGAAAATACAGGTCCAACATTAAATGACTTCTCCATGTACTCACAGCTCACTTGGTCAGAGTGGAAATTAATACCAGGTCTCATTTTCTGAGTTCTCACCACTCTACAGTGGCATTTATCATGAGAATGTTTGCTTAACTCATAAATATTTCCATCGTAAATCCTGTAAATATGAGTGATTTCACAGAAATGACAGAACCAGATGCTCAGAAATGTTCCTGTTGGTGAGCTTTGAGGGGCTATATGGATGATAGGTTAACGCTGGTTAATAGATTGAGAAGACTAGGGCTTTCTCTAGGGAGAGGCTGTCACTTGGAGAGGGATATCATGCTTGGAAAGGTGGGAGAAAGGAAGACTCTCAATCGGTTAGACTGACACAGTGTCTGCAGCAGTGGGCTCACGTGTGTCAGAGGTTGTGAGGTTGGCACAGGACAGAAATGGGTTCAGATCTGTTCCTAGTAGGGTCACTGTGAGTCATACTCGACGGCACACAACAGCACCAGGGCTTTTCTAAGCCTTCTTTTCTAAATAACTCAACATGTTGTCATTCCTTAACTAACAGATACTTCAGAACTTGGTAGAACAATGGGGGAGGAGAAAGGTTTGCTGAAACTCCAGATTCCACACAGCCCTGTGTTTAACCTAATTTTCCTGCTTGGTTGATTGCTTTCTTCTTCACTCTGTCATAGATCCCGTATGGAAACTCTCCTGAACTCATTTTCAGTACAGTCCACGTCCGAGATTCAGGCTTCTATGTCTGTCGCGTGAATAATAATTGCACCTTTGAATTCAGCCAGTGGTCACAGCTGGATGTCTGTGACATCACAGAAATGACCGAAAACTCTCAAAGTAAGTGACCAGTTGCATGTCCAGATGCAGAATGCTTTATTGTCTTTCAATGTTTTTATCATGTCAGGATTGTCAAAGTAGTACACAAGTCATCCATATGTTCTTCATCCTATAAACGGTCATGAACCAGGACATTTGTTTGTATTTTTTCATTCTCTTTCTTCATGGACTCCCATGTGTGTCCATGTGCAGGTACCCTAGGATGGCGTTGAACCCTCGGTCAGCTCCCTGCCACTGCCTCCCGCCCTACCCGTTGGCCTGACTCTTTGTTCAGGCGCTCACCCACTGACTCTGTTCTCCACCCTGGATTCTCCTTATGAATCATCCTTTTCTCAAGCCAGGTCTTGCCTTTTCTCAGTGCCATGTCTTTGCATTCTTCTGGGCCATCTCCTGTTTTTCTCCTACCGTCTGTCTCCTCTGCTGATGGCAGGTTGCGTTTTCTTGCATCTTTACAAGTCTTGTCATTTCTGATTGAATGACAGGCAGTGTGAGTAAAGGAAGACTAGGGACTGAAGTCAGTACGTTTATGCGATGCCCTCTCTGAACGAGATTCCTAGTTGAGCTGGAGCTGGACTTCGCCCCGCGTGTCCATGACTGATGACAGCAGGAAGGCGGGCTTTTCCTCCTGCTGGCCGTGCATCTCCCTGCAGAGCACCAGGATCTCTCTTTTCTAGCCTGAGTGCCAGGTCTCCACACGTAGGTCTCAGTGCATCGCTGCCTGACCACCAGCACTCTGTCTCTGAGGACTCGTCCCTGTTCTCCAAGCCTGCTCTTGGTTTTCTGTGTGTGTGTATCTCCAGCCTGGTTCCTCTGCCTGCAGCCATCCCTGTAAGACCATGGTTCCATCTTCATGGTGGTCCTAGCCTGCCTCTGAGGGGCTTCTGTCAGCTGCCTGCCCTTCCCTCTGGACCTGCACCTCAGCGAGTGGTCTTCTTCCTCTCCTCTACCTCCTCCAAGAGCCTGTGCAGAGAGGTGGAGCTATGCCAGCTGCCCATTTGCCTTGGACTTCCTCAGTCACAGCACAGAAGGTCCGTTGTTCTGAGACACATGTCACACCTGGTAAACTGGAGAGCTTGGTCACTCAAAGGTCTGCTCATGCTCTGTCTTGACATTCAGGTCTCAAGTCATTAGGTGGACCCAGCAAGGTGGGCACTGTGTGGGTGCAGAAGGAGCTGGCCCAAAGCCACTATTGAGTCCCAGCCCTGGTGGATGCTGGACCCAGTCTGTAAACATATGCAAGATTAACTGACAGTGGTTCTATCTCCTCAAACTGTTTCTCTCCACGTAAAGAACTTCTATCTGTTTATAGGTGAGATCATGCTGTATGTGTCTTCAGCTGCTTTTATATAATAGAGGGTTATGAGCACTTTTCTGTGGTGGTGCATATAGATCTGAACCTTTTGTATAACAGCCACGTGGCCTGTCTCGCCCCCCCTTCAGCTCACACGTGAGCACCCTGAAAGCTCTCAGAAGGTCAGGACTAACGAAGTCAGGTCAGCCTCTTGGAACCCAGTGTTTCCCAATCCTAGTTTCCCACTGATTCCTTTTACCCAGAGCATCTCTTAGTATTCCCAGGAGTGCAGCCATTCCCTGGCATTCAGTTTGAGAGTTGACTTTGAAGATTGTAAAGAATGAAAGATGCCCTGGAGTACAGATCTGGCTTCTCACAGTTAAATGGAGGAGGAACTCTTGTGGTGTAGACCAGAGCGTGTTACAGGGCTAACCAAACATGAAAGAAAGAAGTCACTCTTACCTTTAATGGTTTTATGTTTGCAGTAATGTGCTTTCTTCTTCATTTAAGGTAGCTTTGATGGCGTCTCTGAATCCACACTGCACATCTGTGTTGAACCTACGTCGCAGAGGCTGAGGGTGGGCAAAACGTTGGTTCTGCACTGTGTGGCTGTGGGAAGCCCTATCCCTCACTACCAGTGGTTCCGAAACGAAGCCCCGTTGACAAACGAGACCAAGAAGCTATACGTGGTAGGAATTTCATCTTCTGGTACAATTAAAATTTATAATGAACATTTTTTAACTAGCATTCTTTCAAGCATTTTGGTATGTTTTTCAGTATTTTCATTTTATAATGTATTGACTTGTCTTTGCTAATAGCAGCCCGTTTGAGGCTATCATGTGAAGTATATTGTGCCGCTGTTAGAATCATTGTAGCACTTGCTTGTTGTAATTTTAGCCTGAGTGGAAAAAGTCTGAAACTGTCTAAAAAAAGTCAAAGTCATTGCCGTGAAGTCTAAACTGACTCACCGCTGACCCTCCAGGGGTTTTCACAGGCTGTAAATCACAGAGGAGACTGTTCACCTTTGTCCCAGAGAGCTGCGAATTCGAATCGCCTGACAGGCATGGCCTTTCAGCCAGCAACGGCAGCTCTTTGTTTTACACAAAATAGCATTTCTTCTAAGCCTGTTTAAATGAGAGTTGAAGAGGAAATATATGTGCACATTCTCATCCTGATGTAGGTGCCGTGTGTGGACCTGGAGCATCAGGGAACCTACTGGTGCCGCGTCTACAACGATCAAGACACACAGGACAGCAGGAGGGTGGAAGTCGTGATAGGTGAGCAGCCTGAATCCTGACCAGGGGAATCGCATGTGAACTGTGTCCGGGGAAAACAGTTACCATTCAGGATTCTGTGTTGTATCCCTAACTACGTAGCTAGCTGGGCTTTTAAGCTTTTAAGTATCACAAGTACATTGTTTACATAGAAATTTGAGATAATGTGTACTGAACTCATAATCTAGAGCTGCATACAAAGAACAAGAAGAACTCGAAGAAAAGCCATTGTATTTAGATGATTTTAGTCACTTGTCAATATTCTTTAAAGCTTTAGTTAGTAATGTGCCCAGGACAAAGCCCTGAAGGCAGGAAGGGCCAGGAGAGCAGGATTGATGGAAATGAGAATGACAGGGAGGAAGTGAGGACAAGGACCTTACATTGTGGATATTGTCATTAATGGATCATACAAAATGTCAATGACAATGAAAAATCAGTATGCTTCATAAGCTTCCGTTCAAATTGCAGTACATTTTAAAGAAAGCTTGGGCTATTAAAAAAACCCTGGACACCATGGAAAAAGGTTTTTAGTAAAACCTCTTTTAAAGCATAAACACTATGTAAAAGGAAGCTTAATTTCTAATCAGCAGTCCCCTTTGTAAGTTATATGAGTGTCTATTTAATTAACACATTTATGGTAATATTAAAACTATCAAGCAGGGGAGCTCTGGTGGCCTAGTGGCAAGAAGCTGCACTGCAATCCCAGGGGTGCATGGTTTGAATCCACCAGATGCTCTGCTGGAGAAGGAGGGGCAATCTCCTCCTGTACCAGTCTGATCCGATTTGACGGTACACACACAAAAAATAAGAAAATAAAATTTTAAAAAGCTATCAAGCAAAGGCATTCACCTGATGGTTTGCCAGCATATTTCTGTGGTGTCTGTCTTATCTGTTTGCTGGCTACCAACCTTAAAGCTGTGCATTACAATGTATTCAAATTTGTTTTCTCTGTAACAAGGAAGAGCCAATGAGGCAGTGGAGTGCACTGAAGGTAGTGTAAGCCTTGGCTTCGGAAGGGAAGCCTGCATGCTGGTGATGTTGGGATTGGTGATGTCGCATGCTTACTGACTGCGGGGGTGGAAGAAATGCTGGCTGTCCCACGCCACCTTGGCTGAAGGATACCGTGGCTTACATTTATAAATTTTTTAATCTGCCACTGGCACACTATTAAAATACCCAACCACCTTTAATTGACTTTCTGTTGCCCATCAGGAAATCAAGTTCCTACATAACCTCTTAGGAATACTGACCATTGACAATTTATTCTTCATGTTATTTTTCTGAACTCTTAAATACTCTACTTTAATATAAACTTGATAAAATCTGTTGGGTTTTTTTCTCTTGAAAAACTGTAGCACAAGCTACTCTGTCCCTTTGACTTCATACATAAAGAGAAGTGAAATCCCATTTCAACATAAAACTTCAAATTTGGCAGAATCAGCCAAACCATCATACATACAATGAATTGTAAAACGTCAATGACTCTTCCATAGTATGATGTCACATTTTTTCCAAGGTTAGGTTTGTGGATAGCCAAGTATTTTTTCCACCCTCTGCCTCTTTGGGCTCTTAGACAGGCTCCTTGGGTGATGGGCGATGCTGAGTCTGTTTGTCCTGGCTCTCCTGCCCTGCGTGTCTCGTGGTGGCACTTTAGAATGCTGGCATTACTCGTAGCGCGTGGGAAGCAGGACTTCTTTGACTGGGCTTCGCCAGTCCTGTAATCCCAGTTCTGCGGAACCGAAGTGAAGCCTGGCCAAGTTCCTCTTCTCTCTCACCCTCCTTTTTATCTAATCGCATGATTTTTAAAATTCTAACACACAAAAACCACAGCTCGTAATACTGAAGACTTCTAACAGTAAATCCAAAGTCCCACTGTCCTTGGCTTCAGGATGAGGCTGGGGAGGTGAGCACCTCGAGGGCCTTCTGTTCTGGAGGGTCCCTGTGGAATTCTTAAAGTCTGTAGGCAAGCTGTAAAACAGTGCGTCATTTGTGAAAAACAGTGTGTCATTTTTTTAAGCAATCTACTCAAAATGCTTGGAGAGGAAAAACAGACTGTGAAGTTACTCCAGAAATCCTAAAGGGAAAATTTAGATCAAACTTTAGTATTTAAGATTTATAGGTTTGAGAGATGCTTTTTATAGTTAATGGATTTATATTCAAAACGTGATAGGTCTTTTTTTTTTACCTGTAGAATGTAATATTCTTTTTCATTCTATGTATCTTTTTCAGATAAAGATATCTGATCAGTGGAGGGGGTGTTCAATAGTTGAATCACAAGGGAATTCTGAGAATGTTATCAGTAATCTTTGTGATAACTCTAGTGTGAACATGCAAATCCTTAAAAAACCCTTAGGAGATCCCAAGAGAGGAGATATTCTGGGATGAAATGCAGAATGTAATACAAGAATAAAATTGTTTTTTAAATGTATGAAGCAGCCTCGGGAAATGTGTAGTCTGTAAAGCTACAGGCAAAAGAAGTTTACTATAAACACTAGATGCTGACTGATACCTTGTTTAGTTGACTTTAATTATTGCAAATAAGAATAAAGTTTCTGAATAACATCTTGTGAATAATACTTCCACTTTACTACTAATATTAATTCTTTCTTTGTATAAAATTTTTAAAAACCAGAAACTGGTTAAAAACCAGAAACTGGTTAAAAACCAGAAACTGGTTATCCCACCATGGATCTTTGTCTGCATGGTTTTCCCTCTGCTTTACAGCCACGAGACCAGTGCCTCTCAAATACACATCTAGTTTCTATACAAATTTCAGGAGAGGAGTTTTATTGTTTAATATAATAGTATTTTTCAAATATTAACTATTCTAGTTTACTATAAATTTTATAGACTACATTAGGGTTTTGTTTTGGGAAGGTTGTTTTAAGCTACAAGAGTTGTAGATGAATCCACCAGGGACTCCAAGTTAGGAATTCTGGAGCCGCTGTGACACCCAAGACTCGAAGCCCTTCCTGGTGGGACTCAGAGACTGTCATCCTCGATGTGGATCCCACCTCTGCATAAACTTTAAAAGAAAGTCCTCCTACCTGGGTCAGTCAGCACCCTCATAAACAGAAAAGGTGAAAGTTTTCAGGATTGCATTTTACTTGGATCCATAATGAAAGCAACAATCGTGAAGTCAAACAATATATGATGCAGATCTACTGCTTTAAAGGATCTCATTAGTGCTAAAGAGCAAAAATATCACTTTGAGGACTCATGTGCCTCATTCAAGCTGTGTCATTTTCAATCCTCACATCTGTGTGAAAGTTAGACAATGTATAAAGCTGAAGAAGAAAGGTGCCTTTGAATTGTGGTAGTGACCAGTATTGAATGTACCGTGAACTACCAGTAGGGTGCTCTGGTAGACTAGTAATAAGAAGCTGTGCTGCAATCCCAGAGGCACGTGGTTTGAATCCACCAGCTACTCCTTGGGAGAAGGATGGGCAGTCTCTTACCATGCAATTCACTGCCTCTGAAAACCCAGCAGGGGGTCAGTGATGGGTTGGTTCTGACTTGATGGCACAACAGTGGACTGCTCAAAGAGCCAGCAGATCTGTCCTAGAAATGCAGCTGGACTGCGCCGTAGACGGGAGAGTGGTGAGACTCCATCGTACCTGCTTTGACCATGTTATCAGATGGACTAGAAGGACGTGTTGTCAAGTATCAGCAGTAAGAAGAGGACAGCCCTCCACAAGGTGGGTTGGCGCCGAGGCTGCAGCAGTGAGTGCAAGCGCAGCAGCAGCAGCTGGAAGGCTGGTGGAGGATCAGACCACCGTCCGTACTGCTGTACATCAGGTTTCTGTGAGTCAGGGCTGAGCCGCCAGCATCTAACCACACATGTTCACAGAACTCCATTACCCCGGTGGAAGCATGGCTGCAGGCCGAAAAGGCCATCTGCTTCCCAAAGATTACAGCTTTGGTTGTAATCAGTTCTGCTCTGCCCTGTGGAGTCACTTGGTTGAAATTGACAACAAAAGGGTTTAGGTTTGGAAGAATGACAGAAACATCACATAAATCCCACGTGAGAGACAGGCTGTCAAATACCTGCCCAGTATTAATGCAGAACAGTCAGGGTTACCCCAAAATAGGAAAGTCTGAGAAACTGTTTAACCAAGAGGAATGTGGCATCCTGGTTGGAATTAGGGGACAGAAAATGACTTTAGAATGAAATTGAGAAGTTCAGAATAAAATACCATGATCAACGTACGTACTAATACAAGATGTTAATAGCAGTGGACGCTGGGTATGGGATATTTGAGAATTCTGTAAAGCATCACAATTCGGTAAATTTCAAACCATTCCAAAATTAAAAATGTATTTAAGATAAAGTTCATTTGAGGTGGTGAGCACGTTTCAAGGAGCCCTAGTGGTGCAGTGGTTCAGACACCAACCCACAGGTCAGCAGCCTGACCTTGGGTCTAAGGTGATACAGAAAGGAGCAGCAGGCAGCTTCCCTAAAGCTCACAGCCGTGTGAAGTGTGAGACTGGTCTGGTCCGCCCGTTAGGGTTACTGGGAGTTGGAATCGACCCAGGGGACACAGAGGTTCAAGAAGTTTCTGGGTGACTTAAACCTTCTGTTGACTGTTTTATCCCGTGATTAACCAGAATGGTCAAAACTTTCAACACATCACAAATTTTTAAGTCAGTTGTCATTTAAAGAAAACAGTGGCAGCTTAGAAGTCTTAAACGGCACCCCAGCGTCCCACCTGAGTACTTGCATGGCTTCTTCACTTAGGGCATCTGGAAACTCTGCACTAATGATGCATCATAATGAAATTCAGTAGCTCCAAACTTGATTCTTTAATTACTCTCATTATTTGTGCTAAATTAGCAATGAAATTGTTTCAAACTAATCTTTCTTTTATTTCATTTTAGATGAATTAAATAATCTTGGGCATTCTGGTGAGTAATATAAACATCAAAATGAGTTTGAGCTGGTTTGGGGTTTTGGGTGGTTGCTCACTACAGTAGAAATACCTACATGTTCTTTTGCTGCAGTTACTTTTTCCTTTATTGAGAGATCATCGTTCAGTTTTAAAAATTAAGTATCATTTCATACAGGTGAGAAGATTAAAAAAAAATTACTGGTCAGCACAGTCCAGAAGTAGAAACGAAGCTCGTGTTTTCATGTGTATGTTCCTTTGTTCATAAAAGGAAGTCAGTCAGTGGGGGAAGTGCATGATGATGCTTCATTTGAAAGCCTCGACTCTGTCTTTGGTACAGCGTGAGGTAGCGTTTCTGAACAGGCCTCATCCTGGGAGCCCGGTTCTCACTTGCGCAGTCACAGCTCGTATCTCAGCACTGGGCAGAATGTCTTTATCTGATATGAAATGTGTTACTAGGGACGGTGGGACCATACGGACAGGGAGTTCTCACACACACACACACTCTCTCTCTCTCTCTAACCATCGGAGTTAGAGCGAGTGTTCGGAACTCTTGGCTGCTTTAATCAGAAATTTTTGAACAAGCAAAACTAGAGAGAACATCTCTACGTGAGATACAGGACACGCACAGCTGTGAGCCCCCTGCTTCACACAAAGAGGACATTAGTCCTGGGTCCTCTGAAGGACAGTGAGGGAACCGGTGATGACTTCCAAGAACAGAACTGTCTGAGTGGATGGGGAAGGCCGTTGTGCGGAGTGAGCGTGTTGTGTTGCTTTTTCTTCCCCTCCTTGGCATTTCTCATTAGCTCAGCGCCATAACCAGCGTGTTGGTTTCCTGCCCGGGTGTTTGTTGATTAACCGTGTGTGAATGCTGAGTGGGCTGCACCCTGGAGGACAGAGTAGAACTAACTGCTCCTTGCAGTTTCCAAGCTGTGATTCTTATGAGAGTGGATCACACAGGCTTGTCTCTTGCAGAGCCACTAGTGGCTTTGAACCGCCAACTTTTTCCTTAGAATCCACAAGGGCTCCCTACAATCACCACTGAGCTAAAATGTTGGTGGCTCCCTCTTTGATTATCTCCTTACTTCCCAGAGACCCTGCACAGTGTGGACTTTAAATACCAGTATGTGTATAAACAAAGTGGCTGTCTTTCTAGTCGGCAGACATGTGTCTCTTCCTGGGTGGAGCTCCCGACAGGACCCATTTGCTTCCACGTGATAAGAGCACGAGTTGAGTCGAGTTGAATGGACTCAACCGCAGGGGCTGATTTGAAGTTGGAATCCAGATTTTCCGCTTACCTGCCATTTGACAAGTGACTTAACCGTTCCCTGTGCACAGTGAGGGTCCCGCTCGGAGTGGACTGAGCATGGTTAGACGCGCATACAGTGCGTGGACTAGCGCTGGGCAGGTGTTCGGTAAATGCTTACTGCGATTCGGCTGCGGCCAACACTAGTGAGGACCACTGTCACCCCATTGTCAGATTGTCATTTCCCGGCATGTTGAGGTTTGTCACTTCCAGGTGGGCCAGTCTTTTAAGGAGCCCCAGTGGTCTAGAAGGTAACGTCGTAGGCTGCAAATTGAAACATCAGTTGTTTGAATCCACCAGCTGCTGCTTGTCGGGGGAAGATGGGCAGTTCCCTCCTTTAAAGACAGCCTCAGACACCTGCCAGGTCCACTGTGCCTCACACCGCCTCGCTGGCCAGGGTGGGCGCCGGCAGTTACCGAAGGAATCCCCCGCCTCAACGCCAGTTCTACCACACAGGTGTCTTTGTCAGGTACCTGGACATCTTAAAAACACTTGCAGACTCGCTCCTAGAAACTATAACCTGCATGTTTTACTCTTCTGTGTATATTAACCCTGACGATATGTGTATCATGGGTAATGACATCTCTGTTTTTACATTTTTGTCATCTTAACAGATAATAAAGAGCAAACCACTGGCCAACCTTTGGGTGAGTACTTGATCCCTGGCTCCACTCTCCAGGCAGAATTCAGGGCTCCCATGATTCAGCCCCCAGCAGCCCTGGATGTGTCAGAGGGCACTGGGCTCCACAGGTTCTCAGTCCTGATTTTTTAGACATAGATGACCACACCATTCTTCCGAGGCACTTCAACCTTTCAGCAGCCGAGTGCGTGACCCGTTCGCACGGCTCAGGGACTCCAGCCAGCACAGTACCTGGGAATGGGCTGTGGATCGCAGTTCTATCAGATGACACTGTAGATAACTATGTTAGAATAATTGGCATGGGATTAGCAAATACGCTATCAGTATAACCAGGACATTACATAATGCTTAGAGAGGGCAACCAAAATCTTACGTTCTCTTTCTGAAATGGTTTCATTATTATACTGTTTAATCAAGTGGCATTTTCCCCTTTTTCCAAAAAAATGGTTTGTGGGTGGTTCTTCTGGTAAATGTTTTTCTACAGAAACTTTCTGCATTTGTTTTATCACTTGAGAATCATCATCAATTGCCCACATGGTTGCTGGGTTTTGAAATTCTCTTTAATTCCTGACTCTCACTTCCCCAAGTTCCTATTTCACTGTTTGTGTCTCTAAAGTCTGGCTTTTCCTTTCCCTTTCTTCAGCTCATTTCCTGGAATAGGTCTCTGTCATCTCTGTTTCAGCCACTGCTGTCTGCTTCTCTGTTCTAAACCCACCAGTTTGCCCATCAGCCAGGCCCTGGGATAAGTAGATTGGTCCAGGTAAGATTCCTCCATCCATCACCTTCGTGATTCGACTCAGAAAAATGTGTTATGACTTCTTAGCTAGCAAATGATAAGCTAGTTATTAAAAATATTGTTAGAGAAATACTTTTATCTATTTGTGTCAAAGACAGATATGTTTTAAGTCATGTAGTTCTCAAATTGCTAAAGCCATAAGTATGTTTAACTTTCCAAACGTGATTACAAACCCAAGGAAAGAATTTCTTGTAGCAGAACCTTCTCATGATATTCCATTTGACAGTTTGGTTATTTTGAGGTGGAGATAGGGTAGTTTTTCCCCAAAGACATGGAATGATTCCTCATGTCTCTTGCACACTTGTAAAGCCAGCCTTCTGTATCAGTGGATTCAGCTAGCATCATATGGGAAATAGTAATTAGCAGTGAACTAGCCTTCAGAGGCTAAGGGAGTATAAAGTGCTATTTATTTAGCACATCCATTGTGTTATATAAACCTAAGTAATCTAGAAATTATTTAAGTATGAGAGGGGGTAGGGGAAATAAAAAAAAATAATAATATGCGATACCCTAATCTAGATCAAAAACTCGGTGAACACTGATAAATGTCGATGGTTGTAGAGGGGCTTCAGGCCTTTTGTTCATAGGATTGCTAGGAGTCGTGTTCGACTCGAAGGCAGTCAGCAACAACAATCTACATCAACCTTTCCCGATATGATGTCCCTCTCCAAGGAGTAACCCCTTCTAGCAACATGGCCCGAGTACGTAAGACAAAGCTCCGCTGTCCTTGCCTCTACGGAGCTCTCTGGCGAAAGAGAGGAAGGTCTTCAACAAGGCGGATTGACACGGGGCCTGCAGCAGTGGGCTCAAGTGTCGGAGATGAGCAGGATGGCGCAGGAGAGGACAAGGTTCGGATCTGTTGTTCATAGGGCTACTCTGAGTTGTACTTGACTCGATGGCACATAACAACAACGACGGGCTAGATCCTTCATCTTCAGAGAGATGGAAAAAGTGATTACCAGCTTTATATGGAAAAGAAGGAAACCCTGGATAGTCAAAGCACTACTGAAAAATTTAAAAATACACTGGATGATGTGTACAGCTCTCTCTTAATCCTTCCACACCCTTTTGTGTGTTGTTACTGTGTCATTACGTGCCTTGAGGTCAGAGCCAGCTCGTAGCTGGCCTTCCAGCAGGTGTTCGGAGGCTGTAAGTCACACAGGAGGAGATGGTCCATCGTTCTCCCTCAGAGCTGCGGGTGCAGCTGCATGCCTTTGGGTTGGCAGCACCGCTCCTTACAAACTAGGCTACCAGAAATCTTTAACATTTATTGATCTGGGTTGATGGGGCTGTGAGCTGGGACACCCTGAAACCAATCCCCCTCAGTGAAAAATCACTATCATTATTTTCTGGTACGTTTCAGTCTAGGATATTTATTATGATTAAATTATCTTAGTATTCTGCAAGAAGCCAGAGCACATACGATGTGCAAGTACTTTACTACAGAAAGTACCCCTGTGGGGACCGTGGTCAAAGCACTTGTCTCCTAACCTAAAGGTCACCAGTTCAAACCTGCCAGCTGTCCGATAAGAGGAAGACGAGACAGTCTGCTTCCATAAAGATGACAGCCTCAGAAACCCAAGAGACAGGTCTTTGTTCTGTGGGGTTGCAGTGAGTCACAAGTGACTTGACAGCTGTGGGTTTGGGGACCTCTTCCCCAAAGCAGCCCTTTGAGTTGTGATGTGCCGTAAGTTCTTACTTCCCCTGCTTAGACATCGATGGAACCAAGTCTGTCACTCCATCAGGGTTGGGTCTGCTGATGGACTCACCGGAGGATGAGCCCACTAGGGACCTTGATGTGGTGTGAGGACACGTCTAGTTTACTAAAGAAAAAAACTACATGAAAGAAAAGGACAAGTCGTGTAAAGATTGCTGTTTTTTCTGGAGGACCTTTTTTTTT